TCTTAAGTCTTCTAGCGCTATTAGATTTTAAGTCATAGTTTAACTGCCGCTTATACAAATCAGTCACTCCGTCGGAGCATAAATTTTACTGTGGTATTGGTCGGTGCTTACTTTTCATTTTCGCTAGCTTCCTTCAGGGGGAGAAAAGGGTCAGTTACCTTTTTTACTAACTAATGTCATCCTAATAAAGTTTAATTTTTTTCCCACTAAGGGGAATGTCGTGAATCGCACTAGTTTATTCTGGTTATTAATTAATCTTTAAATGACCATAACTGGTTACTTATTTTTGACCTTGATATGCTCATTCTCTCCGGCGGAGAGAATGCTCTGCTCACTTTTTTGTGTTCTAATTTTTAGATTTTTTCACTTTTAAACACGTTTTTATCTGTACATAAGTAGAATTAGCTATAACAAAGGAACATTTTATCATTTTGTAATCCGTATATTTCACATCATAAATTTTTTTTTCAAACTAAATCAAAAATTTTAGTTGTATAAAATTGCATAGGACAACCTGGCGAAAAATAAATTTCAAACGAAACTATTTAAATCTTTTTCTTTTCATTTTTCCGCTTAAATGTTTTTTAGCTTTTAGTTCTTTTTTGTCAATTAAGGTTTTTGCAAGTTTGCAGCTGGTCAGGTGGAATTTGAAATGACGGTTAAACATTTTGAAGTTTTCTAACGTTTTTAATAGCCCATTTTTTGAAAATCTCAAAGACTTTTCTAAGTTTAGTAGCTTTAATTGCAAACATCGAAATAATCATTATATCAGTTTTTTATCACTAAAAATTAATAAAGTAAGGAGAATTGGTCAAGCTTTCAGGTGTTATGCAGCCTAACAGAAGCAAGTCTAATTTCGAAAACATCAGAAGATTATTAGACCAGCAAATAGTTGTGTTAGATTACGATATGAATTTTTTGAAGTCGATCCGCATCAGTTATAGCTCAAAAAAACTAGAATTTGGTGCATAGCTTCTCGTCATCGGCCAATTAGAATGAGTTAATTTTGAAATAAACAAAAAGAAGTGTGAGGCTGACATCTCCACTCAACTTATTTACAATTACAGCGTTCACTTAGACATTATTGACCTTTTTTTGCAGTTTTTTTCTAGTTCAATTCAATTGCCCAGAGTTTCCTTTTTCAAATCAAAAAGCTCATATTACTCTTTGCTACCTTCAAAAATAAAAAGTGATAAAAACATGAAAAAGAGTAATCGGTAGATGCGGAACCAACACTGATCGTTGCAGCCCTTGTAAACATTGCAAATAAAAAAATCAGTTATTATGGGAAAAAGTTTTTGCTATTTTGTTTGGTTTTTAGCCTTTCATTTTTGTAGTTTCATTTTAAATCTTTTGAAGACATCTGCTTTGTGCTTGAAAAGTTTCAAATCCTCTATTTTTTGGATAACTGAGATCTAATTAGAAGTATAATTTTGCAAAAGATAGCTAATAAATCATAAAAATTGTTCTTAAAATAAAAAACATTTGAAATTTCCATTTTCTCCAGAATACGTTTTTAAATCTAGGAGATGAAATCACCTATTCGAAGAATTTTTTCCGAGTTTTCTTTCGTTTTACGTTTTGTAAACTTTATTAGCTAATATCACGCTTGTAAACAAATGAGATTTTTGCAGGTACTTAGGTTGAGGGGTGATGAAGGCTAGAGGTCTAGTAAATTTATTTCGACTGAAATTTATTTTGGGGCGAGCCCTTCTAAACAACACAATGGTAATTGCTAAATAAGAATTAATTTGAACCTAAAAAAGAAATAACTAGGTGGAAAATGCCTGGACAGACGCCCGTTAAGCCAAAAAACTGTTGTCATCGAAAGTTTTTACCATCAAAAGATTCTGAAACTCGAGTCAAACATACAACACCTGAGGCACCTGGACCAAAACAATTGTCTTTGAAACGACTCAATTTGAGGTAGTTAGGAATTAAGTGTTAAAACTAATCTGTTAATAGTTAACATGTTGAAATTATTAAGTTGAAACTGTTTAGTTCAAAAAAAGACGTAATAAAAAAACCTAAAAACAACAAAAAGAAAACTAAGATTATTCGTTGGCACTAATTTACAGCCAAAATCAGCAAAAATTTCGAACAAAGCTGAACATATCTTGTTTTCAAGACGACAGAGATGAGAAAAATTTTCAAGGAAAAGTGAATCTGTGATTCTGTTAAAAAAGCGTAATCAAGAACAGGTTTTCAAGTTTTGCAGTGATATCATTAGAATAACGCAAACAATTCAGAGCCATAACATTAATTTTTTCACTAAATACTGGAAATTCGTTTAATATATGAATTCAACTGTCAAGTGCTGAGTTTCAGTTTTATTGGTTGTTTTTTTTCTAAATTTTTCTGTAGTTTTCAGTACACTTCAAAAAAAGTGGTTCTGAATAAACAGCAACTTAATTATAAAACATAAAAATTGCCGCATAACATAATTTTTATTGGATATTACAGTTGTAAGCAAACATAAAGTCTATTCAAGATTGGGACATTTCTTTGAAAACGCTCAAAGTTTAGTTGACAAAAACAAACTTTTCCAAAGCTTCGTTCTCCTTTTAAGTGAAAAGACGAATCCAAATCTAGGGTAGTTTACTGATGCTGTACATTTTGATTGTGACACGAACTTGTTTTATATATTAATTTTTTTAGGTTACACACTTTATTACAAGTGGCAATTTGCTGATCTATTCTTGACTATTTACCAGAATGGTCAACATGGGTTTCAGTATGAGAACAAGTCAAATGTTTTCAGCATTATGAATAACAGCAGTTCTTATTAATGAGATTGCTTCATCTTCTTTCTCACTCAGATAAAATTACTTCTGCTTTTCCTTTTGTCCCAATTCAATTGTCTTTAATTTTCTCCTTGCAGATTTTTTGGGACCGAGCAAAACTCTCAACTGAAGCTGAATTTTTATGTAAATTCAAAATAATTTGGACTAGCGTGTTCTCTTGTTTAGGTTTTTGAATAGAAGAGCAAACTGATCTGATGAAAGGGAAAAAAAATAATTCTTTGAGATTAAGAGAATAGAAGAAAACAGTATGAGTCACCAAGAATGCCATACAAGGAAGTAGCTACTTCATTAAATTCAAAATACCTGAGTGTTTTATTGTTGATTTTGACGTGTATCTACAAAAATTTGAATTTAATGAAGTAGCATTTTTTATAGAGAAAACGACCAGGTCAGTAGTCCTGGTCATTTTCTCTATAAAAAAATGCTACTTCACTAAATTCAAATTTTTGTAGATACACAAATTTGTTACAATTTGTAATAATTATTCAGTTTGTTTTTCCAATAACAATTTAACAATTTATAAAGTTGCAAAAAAATGTTTCACATTATTTAAAGGCTTAATTAACATCACAGCTGTAATGTTGTATAATTGTCTTTTTTCGTAATTTTTTTCCTCAGCTTGTTGTGCAAATTGAAAAATTATGGTTTCGACCAAACATGTTTGCGACGCCAGTTTTGAAGAAGGTATGTGACGTAGAGTATAATTTCGTTATGCCGACTGTTACTTTTTCAAAGAAAATGTGTAGGGGAGTCAAATATGGCATCAGATTAAAGCCTCATTAGTCGTGATTTGGAACAAGATTTAAAATCTCTTCGTTTTCTCTTCAACTACTTAAGATATACGCTTAAATTTTTGATAATTGATGCTATTGCTTAGCAAATTTCCGATCCTAAAATTTCACTCAAATAACGGATCCTTTCTGGGCTTCTTTTAGTCAATCAAAAAGTGAGCTGAAGTTACCCAATTCAATTGCTAAAAAATCGATATCAAAATGAGCCTCTTATGCAACCCAACGAAACATAAGACGTATAAAGTCTCCAAAGTTTTAAGCAAACGTTGAGAAATAAATTAAAATAATTTTAAAAAACTGGTAAATTTTATAATCCTTTCGGCGTGTTTTGGCTATAGAACGAAAATAATTTGATTTATGTAAAATTGAGAAGAGTATACTCTTTTTGAGCTTTGAGCTACGTAAAAGCCTCACTTTGTTATGGGTTTGTCAGAAATTAAACTAGTAGTTTGAGCGTAATTTTTGCGTAAATTTTCAAGCAAGTTGTTTTTCATCATTATCTGTCTAAAGTCAACTCAATTTGATAAAAACACAAAACTAAATTTCAAATTTGAATTCTTTCCTAGTCAGTGAAGTGTCATTACTACAAATGACGAATGAAAAAGTCTTGTGGCAAAATTTTGGTGAGAATGTTCGAGATAAAGTAGCTGAGTTGACCAACAATTGGTCCGCGAAAAGAATGTGATTCAGATTTTCAAAAGTGATTCGAAAAAATGAAACATTCCGTGACTTAATTGCGCAGCTACAAATAATTGCTGCTTTTACCCTGCCCTCACTATCCTCCCCCTCCCCTCTCCTCCCCCTCTGGGGGGATTGACAGTTATCTGCAAATTCCAATAAAAAAGATGATCAAAATATGGGGTGTTACTTAAGTAGAAAAAACTGACTTCTTTTGCTTCATGATATTTTGTTCAGGTTAGACAAGTTATTCTGCTCCAGATGGCACAATTAGTGTTCTACCTTTTCAGCTGTTTCCACATTTTAATCTGCTTTTCAAACGTGTCGAAAAGCTATTCTTTCGAAAAGATTCTCGACCCTGGAAGGACGTCGATGACCGATTTGGATTCAAGTCTTGAAACTTTATTGCATATGCGCTATGTTGAGGCAAGCTTACTGGATTGTACTGACTGTTTTGGAAAGAGGGATGGCAAAAGAGCCGGAGTTTCTTCCAGACTGACGAGACAAAAAGACTTTCTCCCGAGAATGACCATTCCGAAAGCTCACGCCAATGATTGAATGCTCAAAATGAAATTTTAATCCTCTCGTCATGTATTGTAAAAAGCAATCAAAGATTCAAATCAAAAGATCCGATATCAATATATTCGAAATGACTGTAAATATTTCATGTCAGTAGTTTCTAGCGTCGCAAAAAAAGTCGGCTTGCCTTTTATGCGAGATAAAACAGTATGAAAAAAAAATTTAGTCCAAAATTTAATTTACATCATGCAAACTTCACATTTTGAATGCAGCGTCAACAAATCAGATCTAATAAACTGCTCCGAATTATTGCAAAGGAAAAGTTACAGTTAAGTATTATGTTGAACTTCACTGATAATTTCAATTTTACTGAATCAATTTTGTTCAAAATAATTCATTATACAGTTATGGCGATATGTAAACGGGGTAAATTATAGCGGCTCCTAGACTACACTTTTCAATCAAACTCGTCGTCCAAATCAGCCATTGGGATACTTTTCGACCCAGCCGCTGGCTTTTTACCCGACTGTTTTTCTGGCGGAATGTACCCAATAGGTGCCACAGGGGATCCCCCCTTTGGTCTCTGCTGTGGGGGTGGCTGGGAACCAAGAGGTGTCCTTTGTTGACTGCTGGCTCTGCTGTCAATGTCTATTGCAACATCTGGAGATGCCTTTCCGCCCATTCGGCTGTTTGCACTTCCGTCCAATGGACTGTTCTCCTTGCTGCTTCCAGGCTCATTTTCATTCTGCCAAACAACTAGTGATTAATTTTTATTTTAGAAAAAAACAATGAGCTCGTCAAAACGCTTGAAGTGGTCAAATTAAAAAGTAGAACCAAGAAGAAATCAAAAGTTTGGAAATTTTTTCTGTTAACGTTTTCAATTTTACGCGAGCTTTTTAAAAATCGTGTATGGCCATTTTTCGGTAAACTATATTTTTGGCGAATGTTTAATGTGGTGTAGTTGGCATTTTTGTTTTTTAATTGAACCTTGCTGTTCAGTTTGTTCTTCCTATCCTCTCGGAGTGCTTGGTCGGACTTGATTCCGATGGAGTCCCAGATGATGAGGCAGCCATCATTCGAGCCACTGAAGATCCTCCCGTTCGGCAAAATCTAATTCACACAAACACACAACATCAAGCAGATATTTCAATGCGTTTTCATCAAAGGCGCAAGCTTCAAGCCAACGGAGCTTCACAATACTTGGGATTCAGAAAAAAAAATGAAAAGTATCAACTAATATTAGGGAAAAAAACACTCCCAAGTCCTTGAAAAAAATAATTCAGCAAACTCAAACGCTCTAAAACATGAGCAGATATAGCCCAGTTCCCACGAACAGAGGAAAAAAATAATACGTGAGCCGTGCTCCATTTTCAACGAATCTTGAATTCAAATGAGACCCAAAATACACGCATTTTGAAGCAAAACTACAAAAAACTACAATAAATTCCAAAAAAAACATAAATTTTAAGTGACTGCTATAATAGTTTTCAGTTGGCTTCCAAAACTTCGTAAGCCTAAATGCAAATGTAAGCCTAATTTTTATGGCAACTTCCCAAATGGCATAACTCCCAAATGGCATTAAAATTAAACTTTTCCCAAATGGCATAAATTTCAAGTTTTCACTGGAATTCAAACGTTTTCTATCAATTTCTAATTCTAACATTTTGTCAGGAACGAAAACATGTGAACAAGATTTGAAATTAATTGCTTCCAAGCAAATGTTAAGTAACAAATTTGTCGAAAAAACTGACCACAAGAAGTTTATCAATAACCGCAAGCTTATGCTTTTCGCTTTTGATAAAAAATCATAAAAAAATTTCAAGATAAAATGTCAATCAGCAATTGAATTGACAACTTGACTAATTTTCTCACATTGTTCACGAAAAAATTTTTCTCGATTTTTTCAATGCAACTGTTGAATGAAAATTATGCCATTTGAGAAGTTATTGATTTTTTTGCCATTTGGGAATTATGCCATTTGAGAAATTTTTGGTTTTTATGCCATTTGGGAATTATGCCATATGAGACGTAATAATTTTTATGAGGTAAATCTTGCTTGATTTTATCACTTCATTTTGGCCTCCTCGTAGAACGAGATCGCAAATATTTAACAAAGAAAAAAAGCCCATATTAATAAACAAGAAGAAAATTTTCAGTTTTCTTTTGGGAGAAACATAGCTCTACGAATATATTAGCGTATAAGACATCAAAAAACTTCAGAGTAATTTGGTGACCCAAATCTTATATAAAACAATTTTTGAGTACTTTTGATAAAAAAATCGACAAAATAGAACACTAAAAAACTTGAAAAATGAAATAAAAAGAAGATATGAAAAACTGAGATCTTCTAAAACTCTTAATGCAAGTCCTCAACATAATAATAAATAGCAAACTAAACGCATTTATATTCAAATTATGAGCGATATATCAGTTTAATAAGAATCAAGCAAAAATAAAACAAAAACATTTTATTTGATTTTTTTAAATAAAAGATATTATTTTGTCACAACGGTGAAAAAAATATATTGAAGCTTGACAAAAAAGGTTGCTTAAATGGCAAAAATCATGTATTTGTCCCCTTGGCATCGGATTGATATCTAAGTTGGCAACAGGTTCATTTCTAAATTCACCCTTTTTTGAAAACAAAGAAGAGAAAAAGAGAAAAATACGTTAAAATAAAAATTTAAGAGCATTTTTAGCCGGGCAAAAAATGCCTCGATCTGACAGATCTGCAAAACTAATTGAAACCTAATTTCCCCCTTTATGTTTAGGAAAATGTTGCTTTTGGACCGACCAAAACTTTGTAAAAACAATCAGCCAAACAATCCCTAGTGCATCTTCCTGTAAAAATTGCCTAGATTTAGGGAAGCGATCAGGTTTCAAGTAACTTGTCAAATGCGCCAGTTAGAAATAGTTTGTGTACCGGTAAGCAGGGGCGGATATATGGTTTTCTTGAGGGGGGCGGACTTTCAAAAAAAAATTCGAAAATTTTGTCGTTTTTTTTTTAGGTCGACCAAATTGGTTTTGTGAGCTCTGCTAAATCACTATACAGACCCCATTTTGACCAAATTTTCTGCGCCGCATGCAGCTTTGAAAAACCAGGCCAAAAAAGGCGTTTTTAGACATTTTTGGAAAATTTTGACCAACAAATTGCGTTTTTTCGGCGCGCGCTCCCCCCTCAAAATTAGTATATATTGGCGCCAAAGACGCCTTTAGAAAACTTTTAGGGTCTGTCACCAAAAATGGATATCTCAAAATAGGGCAAAGGGGACCCTTTGGGTCGGCAGGGTCGAATTCCTAAGGAAAAGGGCGTCCAGCCCCCCCCCCCCCCTAAATACGCTGTTGCCGGTAAGAATTTAATATAATTTTTTTTCTTTGCATCGACACTATTGGTTTCCCGTTCCAATTTTTCAACAAAAGATAGATATGTTTTTTTTACAGTTTAAGCAACTTTTTTAAAGCCCCAAAAAATCCGAAGTAAAACTGAAAAAAGCATAATTGATTTTCATCGAAAACTCTTTACTAAAGGGCAAAAAAATTCATTATGGAAACAGATTGAGTGACTCACTGCAATTGCATTGACTGCACCTGCATGTCCTCCGAATAGTCGCTTTTGAACTCCACTCTTCACATCAAACGCACGAACAGTCCCATCACCACCTCCCGTATAAACTAAACAACACTGATTCCTTGTGGTATACCTCAGAACGCGTGATCTAAGTAGTACTTTAATATGAAACACCAATGAGCAGGTATACTTAGAAAAAGTATACACTAGAAAAGAAAAAAAAACAACTAAGTGCAAGTGACCATACGCTCAAAACGGATCAATATTTTGGTCAATTTCGCAGAGTTCTACAAAAAGTTGGTCTACATTCGCCGTCAAATTTAGTAGATTTTAAGAAAATAACGCTCCAAAATATCATAGGAAATAGAGACATGAATGCTCGCTCTAAGGCCCCATAAGCTGGCAAAAACCCGCAAAAAGCATAGTTTCCGAGAAGTGCATATAGCTGATTAGTCGGATTGTAAAACAGATAAACATATACAAACTGATTCCGTTGCTGAGAGCGAAACATATGAGAGGTCGCGTGTGTCCCTTGTATGTCCTGGTACAGTCACCAAACTCCGTGATCCAGCTCCTCGCCGTCCCGTCACTGCTAGCCGTGAACAACAGCTTGTTCAACACCTGTAAAATCAAACCTCAACAAATGAAAATTATAATGAGTCTGCCGATCACCTTCGCAATATACTCGCTTTTTGATACAGAAATTTGGACCAGTAATTTGAAGTGTTTGGAGAGAGAAAGAATTTTTGAGTATTTAGAGAGCGTCAAATGCCGCTTTTCCTTAAGTTTTGTACACATTTTTCCAAAAGACCTCACTTGGCTACAACTTAATTAATTGTATTTTATAAAGCTTTCGTTCAAATTTTTAAGGCACTTTTGGCCCCAAAAACATCATTTTCTCAAAAACATCATTTTGTCAATAGACATTTCAGCGTGCAAAAAGAGTCAATTGGTCACAAAAATAGTCTGGGGTACAAAAAATACATTTAGGGGTTTGCAAAAAATCAAATAGCTAATCTGTAATAAGGACAAAAACTTGTCAACGACCCATCCTGACTTATTATGGCTCATGTATAGCAACGCAAAGTGTGGCTGGGCGTACGTTTTTAAAATATCGCAGCTCTTTGTTAACGTACGGGAAAAACATGAGTACAATTGATGGGGGGTTCAAATTACATTGATCAGTTTTATCTAATTATAAATGATGGCACTTTTCATATGACCAATGAGTGTAACCAAATCTGAAACAATTGAAATACGTCGGATACTAAACTATTCACGCTATGAAGAACTATATTGGCAAAAATTAATATTCTAGATAGACATTTTTGGCATATTTACCAAAATTGCCGAAAATTGAACTTGAGCATAATATCAAAGCAACAACAACAACTCGGAATGAAAGAATGAAATTGAACAAACAAACAAACGACCAATGATGCTACTTAGACATTCGTTGAGTTCTTGAAACAATGATTTGCTATACCACCACAATTCATAATTTCTTTTATACATGGGCTTTTTTAATCATACTTAATCCTTTTCCCTCGTTTACCTTGTCTGAAAATGGCGGAGGAAATCGAAAGTGGGTTTTTGGCCTGGCGAATTACAATTCGAGTTACGAAGAGTCTTTTCCTCCAAGAAAAACATGGCTGCTCTACCAAGAGACCGCAATCTCCTCCCGATGCTTCCAGCTTAACGCCTCAGAAATCAAAATGACCTTGAAAAGCCTTGAAAAGGACATCGAATTCACTATCGATAACAGCGATGATAAAAATCTAACTGATCCTGAAAAAAGTTTTTGTGATTACAGGAAGTCTGTTATTGCAGTTTTAGCCGCAAACTCAACTTTGGTTCCCTTTGAAATGCCTCAATATGAAATCACTGTCACTTTAGAATTTCAGATAGTACAAGAGCTGGAAAAATTAGTCAAAGTGGTCTATGGAATGAATATTACTATTGAAATTTCAAATACCGAAGAAAATTTTTCAGAAACGTTCTCAAATGATACCTTTGATTACCAAGTTCCTCTTGGATACTCGCTTTCCTGCAAACACTTCAACATAACGGGGCTGAAAAACAGGAACTCAAGTAGCGAGTATGATTCGATAGATATCAGCATGAAAGATACGACACTGCAAGCTTTTATATTCACAGGAGAATCGCAGAAGTTCAGTTTTCCCATCAAATGTCCTTCGGATGCTAATCGATATTGGTTCGCAATGCCAATAATCTACACGATTTTAGCTGTCTTCATGCCTTTCGTATTTATAATACGAGCTGTGAAATCTGTCCGAAGGGAAAGATACGAGAGAAAACTGGAGTTGAACAAAGACTTGTATGCTCTGAGGACTGGATGTTTGAATGCAATGAGAAAATGGCTGGCAACTCTTCGGGCAAAAGTAACCAGACGGAGATTCAACACGTAAACAACAGACCATTAATTATTTTCACCGGTGTGATTTGAGGAAAATCAAATAAATTTTTCTGTTTTTAGGAAATAAGTGTCTATTAAATTTCTAACGAATGCTGGGAGTATGTTGTTTTTGGGCATTCTAGTTTTTAATAAAAACTCAGATAATGCTCTGTTTTCTTCTTCAATAACTATATGAACATACGTGACAATTTGTTCAAAACTTGCTACTACAGTGTCTCAAAAAACTGTAACAATGTTTCAAAATTTTAGCTTGAGCCCTCATATCGTCTAAGCCATTACAAACTCGGTCTTTGTTTTTTGCATGCTTAATTAGCAGGCATTTATTAATGCATCGCTCACAAATTCAGCTTCCTAACGTTTATACACTTTTTTCACGAAGGTTTCAAGTTTCTTCAATACTGTTACAGTTTTGTGGCGGGGTTCATAGGAACAACTACTTCGAAAAAAATTCAATATTATTCGATTTGAAGCAAACATACAACTCATGATATATCCTTCAGTACTTGGTGTATCCCGATCGAACTGCAGTAATTGTTCCAACTTGTCGCGACATGGTGTCAATTAGGTCTAGACATGTTTGTAGAGGAATGCCAATCCATTCATCCTGAACCCGTTTCCAACGCTCATTTATGCTTCTGGGGGCATTAGGATATGTCTCTAGTCTACGCTTGAGGTTATGCCACAAATGCTTGATCGGGTTTAGATCTGGTAACTGTGCTGGCCAGTCCATAAATTAAATCACCTTTCCGCTGAACCAACGTGTCGCGGAGTAATTTGGGTTTTTTTTCTTAATCAGAGACTTCATACTGGCATCCCTAAAAACCCGATGAACTCTCTGGGAAAGATTCAATTTTTAAGCCACACAACGACCCAAAAAAACCTTCTAACTTGGCAAAAAGTTGGTTTAGCGAAAACGTGGTTCAAATTATGGACTAGACACTCCAGATCTTAATCCAATTGAGGGTTTGTGGCATCACCTCAAGCGTAGACTAGAGACAAATACTGATGCCCATAGAAGCATAAACGAGCTTGTGGAACGGGTTCAGGGCGAATGGATTGGCATTCCTCTATAAACATGCCTAGGACTAATTGACAGCACGTCTCGACGAGTTGTGGCATTTAGTACAGCAAGCGCGGGATGCACTAAATACTGAAAATTGTATCTTGAGATTTCTGTTTCCTTCATGAAAAATATCATTTAATTTTATGTTTTTTTTTCTACGAACCCCGCAACAAAACTGTAACAGTATTGAACAAATTTCAAACCTACGTGAAAAATGGTGTATAAAAGTTGGGAAGGTGAATTGATGAGCTGTGTATTAAAATAAACCTGCTAAATAAACCTGCAAAAATAAAGACCGAGTTTAGAATGGTTTAGATTGTGTGAGGGCTGAAACTAAAAATTTGAAACATTGTTAGTTTTGTGAGACACTGTATATCTGATATAGCTTTGAAATTCGAAGGTGAGCTTCGAGGATATCTTGAACCCATCGAAGTTCACGACAAAGATTCATCAGCTCGATCAATTCATCAATTAAAAACTAAGGCTTGGGAGTGGATTAGGTTCAAGCAAAAGCGATAACCCATCAGCTGCAATCAATGCAGTCGATAGGTTACACAGTTCTGATTTAAATTATCTGGACAGAACACATTGAAATTGAAATTAAAAACGCGTTTTTCTCAAATTGTGTTCACTTTGAGTGAAAAATGATGACCAAAAAAGTTGTTTGGAAGTTCAGCAGAAGTAATTTTGTTCAATTTGTTTCGCCAAACTCGAAGCCGAAATTTTACCACAAAAAGGGATCCATTTTTGGCTTTTTCAGTCAATCAAAAATAACACAAAAATTACCAAGTCAATCAATGACATAGCAAATTTAACATGAGTCTTTTAAGTAGCACAACAAATTTTAACAAAAATATAATCTTCAAAACATTGTACGAACTAATTTATTCCTGTTTGATGGACAAATAAGTCGTTTTTTTTTTAAAGATAAAACAAATGTTTTTTATTTAAAAACAAATTTTCAACATTTGAAGCAAGTTTTTTGGAGATTATAACTATATTAAAATCTGTTGGGCGCATTTTGATATAATTATGTCAGTGACCGGCCAAGTAGTTTTGGCGTAACTTTTGATTGACTAAAAAAGAAGAAAATGATCAATTTCGCGAAACAAAGTGTGCCAGAATAATTCTGCTGGAACTTTCAGCAACTCAATTTTGAATTTAGAAAATCGCATTTTAAATTTCTAAATAGATTGTGATGATAATCATCATCAGCTGCAAAAAATTATGAAGTTTTTTTTATGTTCAATAGTACGGTAATTGGCTGATTGAAATAAAGTGTTTAAAAATTTTTTGTTCGTTTTCATGGCTTTTTTGGTGATGTCAAATTTTGTCTTAAATGAAATTTTGTTCTGATGTAAAATTTTTTCTTAAAAGTTAACCAATAACATAGAAATTCAACAACGGATGAAAAAGATCAGCAACCAGGTTACAGACAAGAAGGTCAGGGAGGCGTTGTTGATGATGGCTGGCATCTAGTGACTGGTGTGTAAAGATGCAGAAAAGGTGATCTATGAAATGACGGTTTGCAACAATTTGAATGAGAAGCTGAAGGCCAAAAAAAATCACTCCAACGAAAAAAATACAATTTTTAGCAGAAATCCTCTATTTTTATTTGATCTCGTAAAGTATACCAACGAACTGTGAAGGGACCTATAAGTTGACTGGTGCTCTCCCCGGCATTAAGAATTTTTGGTGTGGTTTGTGATTTTTTAAAAATAACTACCCTCAATGGAACTGCCCGAAAACAATTTCTTGTGATTGATATAAAAAGAAACAGTTTCTTGATGATTTCTCAAATTTTTTCAAATTTTGTTGAGCAAAAACTAAATTGCAAATGCGTTAATAGCCTACCTATTTAATCTGGCAACGGTTATTGTAATGATTGTGGAGTTAGACAGAAAGATTGAACTATAAAAGTAAAACATCAATGAGGGAAGTAAACATGCATGAGCGTCTTCGCTTTAATCTAAAATTTTAAAAACAAAATGAGATTGCGTTTTTAACATCGGATTGAAACGAGTTGTTTGGCGTGAACATCAATTTAAAGGTTTTTTTAATTCAGAAGGTAGCATTATTTCTTCTCAATTCTTTAATTGGGTTCTTCCGCTTTTTGTTTAT